CCCGAAATGACCTCTGGATGGGAGACCACCAAGGGAGTCCCAGGGTTGTTCTGCAGAGGAAGGCAATGGCAAAGCACCTCTGGACGTCTCTTGCCTTGGAAACCCTACGGGGTCGCCAGAAGTCAGCTATGACTTGACAGTAAAATAAAGTAAAATAAAAACGCTTCTCACACGTGCATTCACAGTTTCTGCTGGGAAAGACCCTTGGCTGTGCCCCCGAGTGGCTGCAGCCAGTCAGAGCAGGGCATCCTGGGATAGTTGGGCCACTGTCACAGGGGCAGATTCACCCTTAAGCAGACGAAGCACGTGCTGAGGGCACCAGGGCCAAAGGGGGCGCCATAAAGTTGGGGAAAGGGTGAAAAGCTTAGTTTGTACAGTCTATTGTGTTATCCTATGAATAAATCTTTGTATTGCTGCAACCTGCATTGTATATCTGGTCAGACAGGTCAACGACCAGTGTTCCCTCTAAGCTGAGTTAGTGTGAGCTAGCTCACAGTTTTCTAGCCTCCGGCTCACACATTTTTGCCTTAGCTCAGGAAGGAGGGCTCCAGAGCAAACTAATTTATGCAGCAGCCAAATCGCTCGCTCACAACTTTAATGCCAGCAGCTCACAATGTAGAATTTTTGCTCACAAGACTCCACAGCTTAGAGGGAACATTGTCAACAACTAAAATAGACTGGGTCAGTGTGGAAAGGAGCACACTGAGGGCGCCAGTGAGCCTTCCCCCGCCCCTGGCCACGGATACGAAGGCACAGCTACTTGTGTTCATATAGTGAGAGTCGTCTTGACTTAAAAGGCTGGTTGCAACAGCTCAGTGATGGGGTCAATTAATGTCCCTCTCTCCCCACCCTCAATATCCCTCTTCTTTTAAAGTCTGCCTTCTCTCAGCTACGGCTTTCCCCGGGCCTGCGGAAAGTGCTGTTTGCCACTGCTCTCGGGACAGTTGCTTTGGCCCTCGCCGCTCACCAGCTGAAGCGCCGGCGACGTCGGAAGAAACAGATTGCCCCAGAGAAGTCGGGGGCAAAGGCTGGGATGGTGCCGGTTCCCATCTTGCCAACGAGAAGGGTCCCCTCCGTGAAGAAAGGTTAGTCACGTCACCAAAAGCATCACAACAAGAGAACAAGTCTTGTTGTCGTTCATTGTGATGGATGTAAGGAGGACCTCTGCAAAGAGGGAATGGAATGCGATGCGTCTCCGTGAGTGAAGGCACGGGGCATGCACCCCCAGCATCCCCTCTCCCAATCTATAACCGGTTTGAGTCACCCACTCTTGGTAGCTGGAGGTCAAGTTTGGCTTCATCATGAGAGTATCCTTATTAGGACTGATGAACAAATTGGAGGCCTGTGTGGAGTCACAGGAGGGGGCAATACAGTCTGGAAATCCCTCCACACCCCACTTCTCAGATTCAGTAAGCTCTCAGGGGCTCCCGATGTCAGGTAGCCCTGTCATAGGTCTGGAATGTGGAGGGGTGCCCTCCCGTTTTCGGTCTCAGCTCTCCCTGGCTCACCAACTGTTTGCTATCTTATGCTTGACCTTGTAGATGCTCCAGCTGCAGTTTTACTCGGCTGGGAAAGTGAACGGCTTTTCACTTTGCCCGCGCGTGTGAGATGTATCCATTGGCTCATGCTTACCGGAGGGATGTTTGATTCAAGTATATGTCAGAGGCCCTCGTATTAGCGGCCATTCCTGACACAAGCTGTAAATATGTCTCTAGTGCTGGGTTTATCAACAAACAGTTATCTTCTTATGAAGCCCTGTGTTGAGTAATCTGACTAAGGACCCTGACAAAGTATCCCCCCCTTTGAACTGATTTTCATCTGCTCTCAATATTCCACCCCTTCTGAAGCATGCCCAAACGTCAATTGGCTGGCTTTGCTTTGTTCTTTTGGTAAGAGTAATTTGCAGAGCCCTCCTTTTTGCATGCCAGGGGAATAACCTGGGTAGGTCAAGATCCTGAAACCCCCCACCCCAGAAGAATGAATGTCAATGTCAATAACAATTCACCTATATAGGAGAAAGAAACAAGATACATTTGGGGGGAGAAGGGGGCAGTCATTGTGGGTGGCAGCAAAATCTCTCTGGTCTCTGTGGCCTGAACTCTTTAAGAATCAAGCCTGCTCCTATTTGTTTCAGAGAACTTTCCTTGGAAGCTGATGGGACCCTTGGGCAGGAGGATCTATGGAGGGGTTTTGATGGCTGTCTTGGGCTGTTTTAAGCTTGTCATTAACACTGGCATTTCTGGTGGGCAACCGTGTTGGTCTGAGGCAACAGAACAGGTTGAGTCCAGTGGCATCTCTAAGACCAACAAAGTTTAATTCTGGGTATACGCTTTTGTGTGCATACACATGAATGCTTATGCCCAGAATTAAACTTTGTTGGTCTTTCAAACTTTGTCCTGCTGGCATTTCTGTTGCAATCTGTGTCTGTGGCACCTTGCTAACCACCTAGTGTCTCCTGGAGAATAGTGGGGTCCAAATATTTTGATGAATGTTTGGGTAGCCCTGGTCTCTTGCTTGGTCAGTTTGGGGAAACTTGCATTTTTAACATGGCATCTGGCTGTTAATATATTTGAATCTGGCCTTGCTTTGCATTCTAGTGGGCTCACATGACTGAAGATACAGTCTAATAAAACAAATGTAACAATTTAAATCTAGGCAGCAGCTAAACAACAGTTTTTGCAAAAACACCAGAACAGTCCAGAAGCACCTGCTATAAGCACATCCTCTTGAAGATTAAAAACTCACTGCTTTATGAAAGATTTTGCCAGGTTGCTTGCCGAACCTGTATGGGGAACGGCGTCCTTAAGGTGGGTGCAACCACTGCTCACTTTTTTTTAACCCTTTAATGCAAAGAATGGGGGGGGGATCTAAGTTCTCCTCCACCACCCATCTCGCAGTCATAGTAGCTTTTGAACACATGATGTTCCTTGTGGTGTGAATCAGACCACTGTTCCAGCCACTCCCCATTGCCCACTCTAACTGGCAGCAGCTCTCTGTAGCTTCAGGCTGAGCAAAGAGTTTTCCGACAACCTTTTACCTGATATCTATTAGCTGGAGAAGCCAAAGACTGAATTTGGGACCTTCAAAGAAAGTATGTAGTGGTTAAGTGCACGGACTCTAATCTGGGAGAACCGGGTTTGATTCCCCACTCCTCCACTTGCACCTGGCTGGACGACCTTGGGCAAGCCATAGTTCTGATAAAGGCTGTTCTTGAAAAAGAGCAGTTTCTGTCAAGAGCTCTCTCAGCACCACCCACCTCACAGGGTGTCTGTTGTGGGGAGGGGAAGGGAAAGGAGTTTGTAAGCCGCTCTGAGACCCCTTTGGGTAGTGAAGGGCGGGGTATAAATCCAATCTCTTCTCTTCTTTTTCTTCTGCTTGTAGACTGCATCACTTCCCCTCTGGAGAATCATAACTTTCTCAGTAGCTTTTTGAGACGGCAGTTTTCCTCTTAACCCTTAAGATTACCCATGTGGTCTCTGTTTTCCCACCTCATTGCTTTTAGCCAGTCTCTGAAACTTAGTAAGTCACTTGCAGTGCAATCCTATGCATGTCTACTCAGAAATAAGTCCCTTTTTTCCCATGGGGCTTACTCCCAGGTAAATGTACTTAGCCTTGGTGGTTTCTTTATGCTTACTGAATACATGCCTGTGAGGATGTCTTGTAGAGTCAGGCCATTGGTCCATCTAGCTCCCTATTGTCTGTTCTGAGTGGCTGTGGTTTTCCGAAGCCCCTGGGCACAGAGAAGACCTTCCTAGGATCTGCTTCCTTTTAACTGGACATGCCTGGGACAGAACTTTAGACTTTCCTCTCGAAAAGTGCATGTCTGCTCTGCTGCAGATTTATTGGCATTCGAGGTGCCACGGTATTCTCGGGTGCCACACACCCACACCGGCTGCTGCTGGCAGGCTTTTGAACAAAGTCCTGGTCCTCCCTGGTCTCTTTGCAGGGCACTCCAGCAGGCGAGTGCAGAGCCCCAGCAGCAAGAGCAACGACACGCTCAGCGGGATTTCCTCCATCGAGCCCAGCAAGCATTCCAGCTCCTCCCACAGCCTGGCTTCGGTAAGTGACCTCCTTGTGCATCCTTTCTGCACGTGACTGGGGTGAATGGGAGAGGAGGGCCACACCGACGATGCAACAAAAGAGCAAAACAACGACGACAACAACAAAAACCCCGGTGCAATGGGGAATAAGAATGATTTGAAATAATTAAAATCTATTTAAACTAATTATTTTTCCCATCACACCAGTCTTTTTTTGTACATGACTGGAGTGAGCAGAACCAGAGTAGTGTAAGGATTAGAGCACCAGGCTAGGATGGGGGAGGAGGGGGAAATCCCACTTTAAATCCCTGCTTAGCCCTGAAACTCACCACGGGGGGGGGTTTTTTTTTGGGGGGGGGGAGGGGGATTGTGGGCCAGTCCTTCTCTCTGAGCATAATTCACATTACAGGATCGTGATGAAGGAGGGGAGCCCCCCCCCTCCCGCTAACATCTTCCTTGCTGATACTATAAGCACTGACATAAACGGTGGGAGTATAAACGTTTCAAAGAAACGTTTGTGTTCTTGAAAAGCTGGATGGGAACTGTATTGAGCTGGAAAGAAGAGGTGCGGATCAGATCCTGCATGACTGTTTCACCATCTAGCCTAGAAGGAAGATTTGTGCTTTTTTCTTCTTAAGACTCCAAGTGTCTTTTCTTCTTCGTGAGGCTCCAAGTGAAGGGTGGGGTATAAATCCAATCTCTTCTTCTTCTTAAGTTTCTTTTTTTTGGGGGGGGGGGACAGGCCACCCCGTTGCTTAGCTGTGAGGAAAAACATTGTGTATGTGCATTGGTGTGGTGGTGGAAAGGGCTGTCAAGTCGCAGCTAACTTATGGCGACCCCAGAAAGGTTTCAAGGCAAGAGAGGTGGTTTGCCATCGCCTGCCTCTGCAGAGCAACCCTGGACTTCCTTGGGGGTCTCCCATCCAAATACTTACCGGGGCCGAACCTGCTTAGCTTCTGAGATCTGACAAGATCAGGCTAGCCTGGGTTATCCGGGTACTTCTATTAATATCTGTCTCTTTAAACAAAAACTATGGGCTTAAATAGGAGGGGTAGTGCTTAATGACAATGGTTGGAAGAGGTGGGGTGTAGTCACAAGCACCACTGCAAGAGGTCTATTGTCTTCTAGCTGGACAGAAGTATCTGGAACTACCAGGGGTCATTTCGAGCAGGAACGGCATTCCGGGAGTAGCAACATTTCCCCTCCTCCCTTGCAAGCAAAGACACACACACACACTCTCCCTTCCCTTTGCTCCTCCCCTGGGCTCTGTATTCCTCCTCTGGCATCCCAGCTTCCTCTGTCCCATGTCTCCTATTTCCTGCTTGGGAGATGAGAGAATGCAAGCCTTCCTTTGATTGGCTGGGGGCTCCTCCCCTCCTCCTTTGGGGAGGGAAACTGCCAGAGAGAGGTAAAAAATGGAGCCAATAGCTCTTTTAAAGAAGACTAGCAACTCTTTCTCCAGGTAAGGTTTTGTTTGCTTGCAGACTTCTTCGGGGAGGGGGGAGCTAAAGAAAGCATGCTAGAGACAGAGGGGGGGTGAGAGTCAGTGCCAGCAATGTTTTCTTCCCAGCTGTTTTTGCCTACAGACTTCTTAAAGGGGGGGATGCTAAAGAAAGCATGCCAGCGAGAGGGATGGACTCCCTTTTGTATTTCTAATTGATGGAGGGGACCTAACAGTACAGCTTGCATCCATAAGTAAAAGAGAGCAACAGTCCAGCAGCACCTTGATGAAAAGACTAACAAAATTTGTGGTGGGGCATGAGCTTTTGCAGCGTCATAGTCAGGAATGTTTTTGGGCGGGTGCTGGGGGTGCTGATTAAATTAAATTAAATTTAAGGAGCTTCTGCGAAAACGTCTGGAGAAACAGGCTGCATACTTGCAATCCTACATTTAGTCAGCAGATAACTGTGGGCTTGCTGTTTCAGAGGAGAGATGTGAGCCAAGCGGCTGTCGTTAGAGCTGGAAGTGGAAGGGGCACCCTCCCCGGCATGGGGCAGGGCCCCTCCTGGGGTGAGAGCCGAACCTCAGTCTCAGCAGCTGATATCAGCCCGGGAGAGCTCAGGCGGGTCTCTGAAGGGGCCGCATCAGCCCCAGCTGCTCAACACCAGCTGAAGACCTGAGGGGCCATGCTGGCTGCGCAGGTGCAAAAAAGGCTCTTCCAGCATCTTACCTACCAATTGCATTAATTAACAGTGATGCAAAGATCCTCACCACTATACTGGCATACATTGCAGCACAAAAAAAGTTGCAAAGAAAATGTGGAATGGTTTTTCCATTAAAGTCTTTGGGCCCAGATAGGCTACTCTGGGACTGGAATGACAGCCCCCAGAGTGGAAAGGCAGTCCCTAGGAATAGAATTTGTGCTCTGGGACTGGAATGACAGTCCCCAGAGTGGAATGATGATCCCTAGCAATAGAGTCTGTGCTGTGGGACTAGAATGACAGGTCACAAAGTGGAATGACAGGACAGCCCCCGGGAATAGGCTCAGTGCTCTGGGACGTGTACTCACTTTTAGGATATGAGTTTGATGTGAGAAGATTGCTGCTACTCCTGTCTCGTCATTAATTGTAGAGTTGTTGATTTTATAATAAATGTTTGCTATATTGAAACCAATTAACACCTTGACTATTTTCTTTGAGCTTTTGAAGCAGTTTTCCTCCAGGTAGGCTCTTCTCCAGGTCGGCTTGCCAGCACTGAGTTAAGAAATACCTGGTGATTTTTGGGGTGGAGCCTAAGCAGTGGGTGTTGCCTTCTGGCACACTTCCAGTGATGTCAGGGGGTGTGGCATATGCAAATAAGTTATGCTAATGAGTTATGCTAATGAGCTTCTGCCCCCTCTTTTTCTACGAAATGTCCCCTGGGAACTATTAACCATGCATCTGTGAGGTGGGATTAGGCTGGGGAGACCCCAATCCCCCCTCCCAATCCCCTTTCAGTTTACTGAGTGTCCCTGGGACAGTCACTCATTCTCCCTTATCCTAACCTGTTTGAAAAGATGAGGGTAAGAGAATAAAACCATTTATACCACCCTGATCTTGGAGGGAACATGGGATAAAAATTCAATGGCAGGTCATGGTGAAGGATTGGGTTAATTATGCTAAATACTCTGGCCCAGAATCCATAGGGCGGCCGGGACAAATTGGTTACCTTTTTGATAGTGAAAATGGGTTATAGTAGCCATCCTGTTCTTAGCCAAGCTAAGAGAATGTTCCCGATGGATGGACCATTTTAGATTATAATGAAAGAGAATACCCAAGTATCTAAAAGATTTAACTTGATCAATTTCTCTTCCATTGGTCTTCCAGACAGAATGCCTCCAAGATTTAGAAAATACCAAAATTTTAGTCTTATCAAAATTAATAAATAAGGAGTTCTCATTACAGAATGAAATAAATGCTGATGGGGAGCGCTTTAATTCTACTTTAGTAAAAGAAAGAACTGCTGCATCGTCCTCATTTAATAAAATAGGAACTAGGGCTGAGTTTAATTTGGGAGCGTGTCCATCAATTTTAGCGAAATAGGAAGGGAGATCTGAAAGGAACAAATTAAATAGAGAGAGGGCTGAAATGCAACACTGCTTGACACCCTTGGTCACAGGAATTTTTTGTGTTAAGAAGCCTCTGTCATCAAATTTAATCTGACAAGTGTTAGAGAGATTAAATTTACGCAACAAAAACAGAAGGCGTTGGTCAAGATCCAATTTGTGTAATTTCCCCCACAGAGTCTGTCTATCGACTGAGTCAAAGGCTCTATGGAGATCAATAAATGCCACTTATAACTTGCCTCTAGGGTGCTGGAGATATTTTTCAGCTAAAAAAGATAATGCTACACAGTGATCTAAAGTACAGTGGTTTGTTACAAATCCAATTTGCTCTCTCCCTGGTAAATTATGAGAAGTCATCCACTCAGATAATTTCTTAAGAAGATGTTTAACATAAATTTTCGGAATTATTATGGAATTTAACCATGATTCTGGTAAAGTACCAAATTTATCAATTAATGTAAAGAGGCGTGCAAGAGAATGAGACCACCATTCAATATTGTTCTTCATGAGCTCAGCAGATAGGCCATTGGGGGCTGGGGCTTTACCAGATTTAAGACTAGAAATATGCTCATATATCTCCTCATGCGAGACAGTTGGCCACTCTGGCACATCTAATCGGGCTCCAGGGGTTTACGAGATTTAAGACTAGAAATGTGCTCATATATCCCCTCGTATGAGACAGGAGGCCACTCTGGCACATCTAAAGGTAGCACATTACTCGTTGGTTATTGAACAAGTTAGCATAGTAAGTGACCCATTTCTGTGGGGGAATTGAGCTAACATGAAGGACTCCCGACTGACGTTTAAAGCCTGTGACCAAGGACCAGAAAGCATTGTTATTACTTTTGATTGCATAAAAAAGCTGGGTCCATTTCTCCATGGCAAAGGTATGTTTCTTTTGGGCTAGCAGCAGTTGACATTCCCTCCTCATTTTGCAATAAACAGAAAGTGCCAGTACTCATCCGCCGAAAAAATTGGCGCAATCTATTTTTAGCTAGGTGGCATTCAGCATCAAACCAGGAATTAGTTGAGCATTTCACATGCTTACAGCCAAATGGTTGGGCAAAATCACTGAGTTTATCAACAATAGAATTATAAACTAACAGTGGCCCCGGTCACACGGCAGAGTTGCCGCGGGAGAGGCACAGATGGTGGGCGGATTATCCGGGCGTGATCACACCCCAACATCTGGGAAGTGGAGCGCACCCGTAGCTTACCGCCGACAATGCGAGTTAAAAAACTAGTACCTCCAAGGTACTAGTAAATGTTTGCCACAGGCTGCCTCCAGATGCCCGTGGTGTGATTGCGCCGGCGCGTGGCATTCCCCTTGTTTACCCGCCGGCGCCGAGGGAAGGACTGGTGGTGTGCCGCCGGCGCGTCTGATTGCGTAATCGCGGATACAACTGCGCCGGGGCAATTAGCCACGCCTCCCCCCCGCGATATCTGGCCCGTGTGACCGGGGCCAGTGTTAGCAA